CTATAAAAGTTTGGAAACCGAAGACCCACCTAATGAGATATGCTTGTGGTTGAAATCAACGTAGTTTGCCACCATCAAATTATTAAGTTAGTATATTTATATTTTATAGACGTAAAAGGATACATACGTAGATATATTTTCATGTTATTATTATTTAATAAATAAAAATGTATAATATCGGTTCTACAAAATTAAATTTACTGAAATTTTCGTCGCCACTTAATATTTAAATAGAAAAATAATTTTTAGGTATTTGATTACCACGAAAGGTCTTTCCTGGGCTTAACACCACGATCCGTCCCTGCACACTAAAAACCTCGAATTTGTCGGATGCCTCCCCGAAATTAAATAAGAGAGGAACTATTTACGTCGTCGCACCGTGAGTGACATAAAAGCCACCCCTACGGCGGCATCATCGTCAGCATGATGTTCAGATCTAGTCAATTTGATATGGGAGATTTCGATTGCTAGCGCTAGCCGGTTAGATGACACCGACGCAGTGGCGTCGTGGCACTGTTTAGTTATATAACTACGTATATTAGATATAATTTATATTATATATTAGTTATACTTTAGACAGGTGAATGCTTTATAAGACCAAATGAGTCATAAAAAGATTACATACCCCTATTTAATAGAAAAAGTACTTAACTACTGGAGATTTTACATTTAAATGAGACCTCTGATAGGATAAATGTTAATTCACTTGAGAAGTAAAATTGTTAATGGTGAGTGAGTTCATGTTTGCCTTGGTTTATGGTTTCGTCTGTCTTTTAGAGTGCATTGAATATTTATCATATCCTTGCCTATATATTGCCTATATTATATATTTTTACTCTTCCCAGACCTATTATCATTGAACTGAGGTGGCTTTTACTTGATGAAAATAAATTTATCAAAATAAATAAGAACTAAAAGTTCAGATTTTCACGAAATTATATATTTTTACATGACAATTGTTTCGACAACACCGTGTCTTTATCAAATCGCATTTGATAAAGACACTGTGTTGTCGAAACAATTGTAATGTCAAAATATATAATTTCGTGAAAATCTGCACTTTTAGTTCTTATTTATTTTCCTATTATCATTGGTTTTAATTTCTAAAATTACCGATACTAAACCTATAGCAGTAGTCAGAAAGAAATAGACAAGCACCATCATATCCCACTTACAATTTACATTTGTATCGATTATTTATGCCCAATTAAAGAGATAATTTGACCTTTCGACGTTTGCAGGTTTTGGTACTGTCACAAAGCTATTGCATGTCCGCTCATAGCCCGATAAAAATAAAGTAATAAATATTTCGAAGCGAGTTTGTTACAGGTGAATATTCCATCTCTCCCATTCTTTGTTCGAGGCCTCCCTATCAATACAATCTTCTTCTTCCATTCCTCTTCTCTCTAGAACTTGCCAAACTTGTTTTATTCAATGTTTTAGAGGTCTTTCCTTTTTTCTCCTGTATGGCGGTATTTGTTGTATATGTCCATACGTCTTATATTTGCATCTCTCCATTTCTTTTGATTTTGTTACTATATTTATTCAGAAAACTGCTTATCAGATCACATTGCACTTTTTAGCAGCTGAAGTCATTATCTCTGTCAAGTATGTACTTTAAAAAATGTCTGCGGACTTGGATACAAGTTAAAGCACATGTATGACTTAAAGGAGAAGGATTTCCCTTGTTGAGATCTTTTTTGGAATAAATATGTGATTTTTTAATGTATTTTATTTTAATTTATTGCAAATTGTAGAACACTTTCTTGCGGTTTTTAAGGAGAACCTCCGAAGCAGGGACAAGATGGGACTACAACCGGATGATTTGGCGGATACATGCCTTTACATGTATGGTTTATATCAATTTTACAGAGTAGAGTGTTATTATTTTTGTAACATCTAATGTTGAGTTTTGATGGCGAAGAACTTTGAACATATTGAGAATAATAATTTTCTCACTTTTAGAAAAATAAATAAACACACATCAATGTAACAATAAAAAATTGTAGATATGCTCGGACAAAAAATTTGCATAATGGGTATAGGTCGAAAAAATAATTTAAAACATTTTAGTTCCTCAGGTTCTATCAGATCTGTTCAACGATTTTTTCAGGGAGACTCCTTAGAAATTTCCAGACACATTTCCAAACATTGCCAAAAGAACGCGAATTTCTAAAACGTGGAAATGTTATACTATTTTTTTTGATCAAGCGCGTGTTAATATCCATTACAAAGGAAAGCGATTGATATTTGCTCAGTCCTTTTTATAATATAACATAGTTTAATATATATAAAAAAAAGGAGTATGCGCTCAAAAAGTAAAAACATGCTACCCAAGATTTTTGGTAAAATATTTTTATCGTCGATAATATCGGTTATCGGTTAAAGTCAAATCCATTCGCTCCATTTAGGTGTAAAATTAGATAACATCGGATGTACGTCAAAACACTTGTTGGGTTGCGTTTAGACCATACCTTGATTGCACCCTCGAAAATTTAAAACCGCTTCTTTTTTGTGTTCATTTTCATATAATGACTGACTATAATCATATTTCGCCACTTTTTAAAACATAGATAGCAATGGTACTTAATTTGGTACACCGTGCATACCACCGGGTGAATAAGGTTGTGCGCCGCTGGTCGGACGCGATAAAAGAAATCAGTGTGAGATCATAAAAAGATCTAAGCAAGTGGTGTAAACGGCATCAAGCTGAGAACAAATAGTGAGCTCAATAGAAATGATTTCGTCGGGCCCCACCGGATTAGCCTTTGTCGAAAGCTTTCCGTCGTTCACTGTTAAATCGTTTCGCGCATTCATTACCTGTCTATCCGTCCTTTGTTTCCGGAAGATTGGAATCGAGCGGTGGCCGAAACAATGGACCGATTATTTCGAAAATTTTAATTGTTTTTTGTAAACCGCCCTTTATTTATTCTCGAGCTAGTATTTTCAACAACCCATATCCTTATCGGCAAGTACACGGGATGAGTCGAAAAGGTGGGTCGACTGACAGATTATATTGATTATAAACAATTATTTGTCTGATTTTATATAAAAAATATACACGGTGATTCATAAAGAATGGACACTCTCTAAACTGGAGATACTAGACACCAAAATAATATGATTTATACTATAATAATATAAATTTGCAGTTTTAGGTTGGAAGTTACTCCTAGAGGGCGCTAGTTTCACCGCAACAGTTAGATGACGATAAAATTCTGAAGAACTGTTTTATTTTTCATAGAAAAAGTACTCTTGTTTAGGCCGTCTAACTGTAGGTTTTTGACTCGTTTGCATATGAAAGTATTTTTTCGGGGAGCAATAAACAACCATTAAAGAAATAAGCACGGTTATAATGATTCGCTTGTAGATTGATATGCCATTTCATTTTGGGACTCTCATTTTGTCAGTTTTCATTTCCGCAGCCCGTTTCTAAAATACAGTCCGATAAACTTTTTAAAAAATACATTTTTGTTCATACATATCTTAGCCTTTCACGTATTTTCTTGAAACTTGCGCTGTGATACTTTGTCCTGACCTGAGGAATAAAAGGACACTTTGTAGATTCAAATATGAACAAGAGAATGAACTTTGTTGGAGCCGCAGATAACGTAACAAACAGTTACTAGCAATTTTGGTAAAAATAAAGGCCAAATTTTAAATTTAGAGTATACGTATATTTTCTTGGTCGTTTCTTAGAGTAAACGGTGTTATTCTCCTGCACGCGTCCCGAATACTATTTTCCATATGTTGTAGTGTTGTAGAGGGGATTCACATAAACATGATCTATAAGATATCCCCACAAAAAGAAATCAAGTCACATGATCGAGGGGCCATCTAATGAATCCATCGCTAAAGATCCATTTCTGTGGGTAATGATTATTAAAAAATTCTCGAACTTCACGATGGTAATGCGGAGGAGCTCCATCTTGCTGAAACCACATTTGTTGGATCTCAATGTTACCAACTTCTTTAAGAAGTTAAGGTAAATTATAAAAAAAGTTCAAATATCAAGGTCCCGTAAGTGTTTTATTCCACGGCACATGTTAAGGGGCCAATGGTTTTGATTAACCGCTGAATAATAATGTATATTATGACGATTAACTGCACTATTACTGCGAAAATTAACTTCATCGGAAAATATTATTTTACCCAAAAAATTGAATCGGTCCCTGTTTCTTCAGTTATAATGGTCATTCAAAATTACGGTCTAGAACTTCTTGGTATAATCCGATATGGTCCAATTAACGGTACATTGGGATGCACCACATAAGCTAGCTACTTGACAGCTAGTGACCTGTGGACTATCTTGGTGGCATTTCGGTTTACTACTTTCCGGAAGAGACTGTCTAGTTGGTATACTTACTTGGCTTTGTAAAGTCACACTGCCAACAAAGTATTTTTTCAGCCTTACTCAGTATATAAATTATATTAATTTAGCTTTAGAAAAATCCATACTTTTATACGTTTTATTTTGAAAACCCGTAGGATCTAATTCAAATATCGTTGATATCTTTTACGTCATCTTCGAATAACGCTAATATAAAATATAAGTGAACCCAGCTTTAAAAATAATGGTGCTATCGTATTTGATATATTGGAAAAACTATTAGATTTAGATGTGTATTATTGTTAATAAAAACGTTGAAGAATTTTAAAAGGATTTCAAAACAAACTTTAAAAATAGGGATTTCAGTTTTAAGATATGTACGTTTTATTCGTTCCTCTTTTTTGAGTCACTCTGTATACTTAAAATAATTTTCAATTTAGCATCCTAACATAACATCACTTTTGAAACTCTTATCGTTGAATCACCCTCTACTGAAAATATTATGTTTATATTGGCGCGTCCTCTGTACGCAGATGGCGGAAATTCCGAGATTCATACGGTAATAAACTGTAAGTACCCTAAACCAAGGAGATAGAGGAGTGACACTCGACGCATAGATGTCTCTGCCGAGAAGTAGTTAACTTTTCAGTTTTCCGATTAGGATTGTTAACGTCAGTGCACGGGTGGTGTCTTGATTCATTCATTAAATACAAAAAAAATGCTTTCAGGATGACCTTGACTTTGATCAAAATTCCCACTACACGATGTTCTACTACAGGTTAAGTATTAATAACTGTTTTCCAAAATAACTCAGCTCTAATGTACCTGTCTACACGACTAGGATTTTCTCCCAAAAGTCATATAAACTCAACCCTACTGAACTTTTGCACTGTATTTAATCTCCAAGAAAATGCAACTGTGTGTCACGTACTTATATACTTATAAAGAGGTTAAAACTAAAATGTTTTCAGATGTGGAGTTTGTGAAACAAATGTAACAATGGTTCTAAAACATTTCTTTTAAACCTTTTTTTGGAATCCTGCATCAAATTTCACGCATAATTGATATACCCTATCTCTTACTTTTTACGTGCAAATGGTTGAAAAACAGAAATTTAATTTTTAAATGAACAGTAGCTATTACCAATAACGTTCCTGTCATAGAACCGAAATTTTAAATTGTTAAATTATCCAGAAAGGTGCATTACAAGATGCACCGTGAGTAAAATTGTCTACGACAAGCTCGTCCAAAAGGTAATGAGAGCACAAGATTAAGCATTTTATTAGAAGTTAAAGTAGCTTGCAATTATTATAATATTCAGCCTCGTTTCGTTAATAAGCATGCTATGTAGTACCCCCATTTGGTGCGTAAAAGATCACTTAATTTAAAGCATCGCATAGCACTTTATTTTTTATATAATATGTCGAAACATCCACGTAGTTTGTCGCTTTTGCCGGAACGGCAGTGAAAAAAAAGGCCACGACAATTATCAGGAAGTGAGCAAGACTCACAAGAAGAAATAGAAATCTCTATTATTATTTACACTATTGTCGTGACTCTTTGGAATGACAGCAATTTTCTTAGCCTATTTGAGTTAACAGGAACTTAAACTGTTTGGTAAGAAAGTAAATTATTTCATCCTGTTTGGGACAACAGGAACTTACTGTTTGGGATAACAGGAATTTACTGTTTGGGATAACAGTAAATTATCTTAACCTGTTTGGGATAACAGGAACATAGTGTTGAGGATAACAGGAACTTATTGTTTCGGATAACAGTAAATTATTTTAGTCTGTTTGAGATAACAGAAGCTTACTATTTGGGATAACTGTTGGAACCTTGTTGGGAGAACAGAAACTTGATTTTTACTGTTTGGCCAACAGCAAATTATTTTAGCCTGTTTGAGATAACAGAATTCATTTTATTGTTGTTTGTTTACAGATCAATGCGTTGCTGTCATTATACAAACCGAAAACCAAAGAAACAGTTTTCTTAAACCACAAATATTGTCCATAATGGGAGTTGAATAAAACAACACTAGCGATTATGGCCCACCAATGCAACAGGATGTTGCTAACCTTTGGAAAAATACGGTCAAGAAAAGTTTAGACCTTGATAAACGACGGAGTTTATTAAATAAATTCCGAATGGGTTCGTGTTTGTCTGCCATTGGACTAGTCGTAACGAATTTGCGCAAAGACGAGGAAGGGGTGAACAGCGAAACACTCTTGGACTCACCGATTGACATGTGGCTGTTTGGACAAAACTTGGATGAGAAGCTAAAAGCTAAAAAGCATCCAAATATCATCCCAACAGCTCAAAAGTTCAAAATCCTTCGATAAGAAGCTTGGGACTGCTAGAGTCTTTTTAAAGGTACGAGAAAAACAGGAGAAATACGGAAATTGGTCGAAAGACGCGCAGGGTTAAAGGTACGTTGTCACAGGTAGACTTATTTTATTTTATTTTAGATTTATTCTTCGTTGTAGAAAACTCAATAACAATCTTTTCTTGTTTGAAAGGCTACAAAATTGGATTCTTACTAAACTCATGTCAAAATGTTACTCCTAGAGAGTCACACTGGTACATTAAAGACCGGCAAATAATTAATAAGAAGGTAGCGAAGTTAATTCGGGCAGAAGCTATTTCTAGAGTCAACCAGATTGAGGGTCAATTTGTCTAAAATATGTTTGCCATCCCTAAGCTGAACGGTTGGTTATGGCTAATTATTAATCTTAAACGTTTAAATAAATTTATAAAAATTAAGAAAGACGCATATTGTTTATTACTTATTACAACAGTATAGAAAATATTTAGGATTTCTTTTGAAGAGCTGTTTTTATCAGTACAGTTGTTTCTGTGTCGAATAAACTGTGCTCCTAGAGTTTTTACCAAATAACAAAACCCATTGTCACTATTCTACGGAGGACAGGGTTCATTTAGACGATTTTTTGTTACCAAGTAAATCATATAATGAATGGCTACAGAATGTCTTGGAAATAATATGGATTCCGCAGTATTTGGGCTTTATAGTTAATTTCAATAAGAGTGACTTTATTTAAGGTTTTTAGACAATTATTCAAAGATTACAATCACATTACCAAATGACAAACGGGAAAAACCTAAAAGTATTTTACTAAAAATTGAAAAATAAATTCTTCGTCTCGGTGTAGAAGGCTATAAAATATGGATATTTGTATACGAAGTTATTTGAGCGCTAAGAGGGAACACCTACCAAACGCTACAAATTCATTAAGGCAAAAAGAATATGTCATGAAAATATTGCAGGAAGCATCAAATACGGGATGAGGCACTTATTGTAACAATAACAGTACAAGTGGTTTTGGTCGGAGGATGAAAATCACATTAACTATTTGGAGATACTTTCTGTTATTTAGGACTTAAGTGCTTTACGAGAAATGTAGTCCACTCGAATCCAGCTTGCAATAAAATACTAGAAATTTAAAGGTAAATGTCGATAGCTTGCTGTTTTGAATCAATGCTTGTTAAGAAAATCGTCCATATAGAAAGAATTTTCTATGAGTTTGCATGTAAGTGCAAATTTGTCGTTATTTTCTATGGTTAGTTGTTTTAGGCAACGTATAGCAAGCACATGATGTGTCATAAGTCAGCGTGTTTAGTTTGTATATTTTCATTGGATCCTGAGGACTGTATAACCAAAGAATTTGTTGAAAATTGCAATCGGTTGGATAAACCATTATTTGCCCAAACATCATTTTTACGTCTACACTAAAAACGAAGTTTCTTAGTCGAAGTCTTAATAAAATAGAGTAAAGATCATCTTGAACTGGGGGACTAACTAATAAGAGATCGTTCAATGATTTCCCCGATACGTCAAAAACCACTCGGCATTTTGTGGTGATCGAATCTCGCAACACAGCTGTATGAGTCCAAGAAAAATGTTTCCCAATCTCATTTTATGGATATGCGATTTATTTGTTCATATTCCTGCATAAAGTGAATATAATTTTCCTTAAAGTCTTGATTATTATCAAAACGAGATTCTAATTTTTGAAACCTTTTTAAAGCCACAAACTTAGAGTTTCCTAAAATTTCTACTTTGTTTTCGGAAAATGGTAATCGCACTACGAATCGACCATCTGAGTTTTTTTCCGTAGTATTCTGGAAATAATTTTCACAAAATTGAGATTCGCGTGACAAGATTTGTTTCTGTGGCAATTCTTTAGTTTGTCAAAATTTGCTAAGCTTTTCATTTAACTCGTTTAAAATGTGACTATTTAAATTACACTCTGTTGTTTGTGTTTGGTTTCCACCTAGGTTTATGTGTTCGGTGAAAATCCAACTTAAACAAGTTGCATTTTTCCATTTTCAATGAGCTCATAAAAAATATATATTGAATATTGAATTGTTCGTCTGCTAAAGGGATATTTTTTGGTACGTTCAATAATTTTCTCAGAAATCCAAATAACGGTAATTTTTTAATTTTTGGTAAAACCAAAAATGTCAAATCACATTGGAACAAACTGGATCGAGATTTTATTTGTGTTTTCGTGTTTTCGCTAACATTCATGACGATTTGATTTATTCCTGCTAAAGGAGCGCGGATTTCTTGACAATCTAGCATTAATTTTTTGCATAGTTCGCGGGTCATTAGGTTTGACTGACTTCCAGAATCTAATAAAGTTACACATTCGTGTACATTTCCAAATTGGTCTTCGATTAATTCTACTGCTGTAGACAAAAGAACTTGATTGAAAATAACATTCTCCCATGACATTTCAGCGACATTCGATAAATGGGTCGAGAGACTAACATTTTCATGCACATTTTGATCAATTTGTGATAAATCTAAATCATTATTTCGGCTGATATTTGTACCGTCGGCATTAGACGGATCTACATTCATTCTTAAAATGACCTGAACGTAAACAAACATAATATGTGTCGACGTATGACGCTATGTTTGTCGTTTGAGGTTAATTTTGCAAATTCTGTACATTGATAAATAAAATGAGACTGATTGCATACTGGACAAGATGTTTCAGTTAACATTGTGTTGATGTTTTATTTAATGGGATTTGAGAAAGCTGATTTCTTGCATTAGAATTTCTGAAATTGTGATTTTCTGTTTTTATAGGTTCATATTGCAAAGCTTCGAGAGAAAAGCACTTTTTTGTTACAAATTCTTGAAGTCGTTTTAATGTTGCTTAAAGTTTGTTTAAAACAATTTGGAATTAGTAATGCGTCGCATGAATCTGTAATTTGTAAAGAGTAATTTGAAAAGAATGCTGTTTGATAATTACTAGCCGTAACTTCTAGTGAATCTATCAATCTTAGCGCATCATCTTTGCAACAACTTTTTAAATAAAGAAATTTGTCAACCTTGCTTTGTCAACTACCGAGTTAAAAAAGTCTTTGAAATTTGGCCACGCTTCGTAAGTACCGCTAAAACTGGGAAGATCTATGGTTGGTAGTTTGGCAACTGCGCCAGCGCCTGGCTTTGCCTGTGCCGCCGGTGCCTGCCCGAACGTCGCCTTGCGTCGTTTGCCTGCTTTGCTGTTTCCAGACATAATGTCGCGAAACCGATCACGTCATAAAAATTGCTTTCGATAATTAAACGCTTGCTTTTTTCGTTACTGTCCAGAAATTCAAAACCTGTTTGAACTTTTTTTTCAAACCAATAAAATCATCCTGAAGGCTTTTCAAACAGATTTCAAAGGGAATTGCATTTGTTTGATTTTGTTCTGTACTTAAAAAACTTTGAAAACGTTGAAGCCGCTCAATAATGACTTCTCGAGTATCGTTAAAGCTGTAACCTTCGTCATTTGCTTTTTTTGGAGGCATCTTTCGTGTAAGGATAATTAAATCAAAACAACGTAATGAAGCAGAATCGAGTTTAATCCTCTCGGTTCGACAACTACGTCTTGACTAACTTATCGTAAACGTTTTAATGTCCGTTTTCTCCTTGACCTATTATCGGAAGAGCTATAACTCGAATTCGAACTGTCACTATCACTTCCCGAATACGAGAGTTATCTCACTAGCGAAGATCCAAGAATGCTGATCCAGCAGAGTCCTATTTCTACATATAAAAACATAGTTTAACGGTGTGGAAGCAGAGTTCTGTCTAGATATGTTATTGTAACAGACAATTTTAAACGGTTGTAAATTTAAATAAAGTTTTTTAAAAAAGGTAACGGTCGTCCGGAGTAGGAGGATGGAGGATGAACGTTCTTTCCGTTTATTACGCTTTTCACTTGTAACTGTTTTCGATTTAAATTTTTCCATGACTTACAATAATTTTAACTTGTCCAAAAAAAAACAATTGTAACTGACTTTGATAATATCCCACCGCTGCTTTGTAAGGATAATCAAATCAAAACAACGAAATGAAGCAGAACCGAATTTAATACTCTTGGTTCGACAACTACGTCTTGACTAACTTATCGTAAACCCAAAAACATCGCATAATAAGACCCTAATTATATCTCGTCACTGCAACTTGCCCTCTCTATATTTTTTGCCCGAGACGCCGATACATTTTACAATCGGCAAAAGAACAAAGCGGCGCCTTTTTGTTAAAGGGTATTGTCTAACATTCGTGTAGATTAACATTTTTTTTGTTTTTCAAACGTTACTATTTTTTCAAAAACTGCTCTTGTTCAGTTGAAAAAATCGTGGGAAATGAATTCGATAAATTGAAAATGAGAGATGGTTGCTTGATTTGAGATTTTGATAAATGGAAAGGACTCTTATTTAAAATGATTTATCTTACTAAGTTAACATTTTATTACTTTTTTTAAACAGGAATCCAGTTAATTATGGGTAGTAATTCATAGGGTAATGCAGAACAGGAACCCTTTACAAATAGTTTTTTACGGCGACTTTATGTATTATTCACGCAGAAGGTGTAACGGAACGAGGTAAAATTGATTTAATATTTTATAATAGCTCACAAAAAAGCATTTTGCATGTTTAGTGCAAAAAGGTCATATTTTATAATATTATTCAACCCTTTATAGGTTTAAAGGTTAATGTATACATATATATTCGAGTTATTGCAAAAAGATATCTCAGAAGCACAGAAACAAAATATCAGCCATCAGGAAAAGTTGAAGAGACTTAAGGAAGGGACAACATAATCATCAACACTTGAAGTACCAAGTACAAGACAGGAGGTGCAAGCATGTATACGAAAGCAGACCGAAGGAATATATGTAACAGACTTGTGACAAGGTAAAGAAGTTATTAGTATGACTGAAACTATATAAGTAAATTTCAAATATGGTAACGTAATTTTATAAAGGTCGAAGGTGCCTTAGTTCCTTCAACTCAGTATGTACCTCTATGCAGAGGTGGAGGCAATCGAATGTACCTGTCGAACTGAAAGACTTGACTAGAGTTCTGGGAGCAAGCGAGTGACCTAGATATTAGTTTGGTTATACAGTTGGTCACAAAAGCTTGGCATGAGCCATTTTTTTCGCAAGCCCCTGTATGAAGGGATATTAGCCAATTTGTTTTGGGAATAATTATTAAAATGCTTGTGCTTAAAATTTTTGTTTCATTTTAACCATTTGAACAGGTTTACATCATAAAAGAGATCAATCAGTACAAATATTTTCTGCTACACCAATGCAACGACAAAAGATTTGGTGGGGCCATTAGGGACATTTCTGGCCCGCTCCGGGGCCGTGATTCCAGAAGCCAGGTCCACGAACACAAAAACCGACGCAGGAGGAATAAAGAAGTTTTGTCAAAAGTATTACAGTAGCCTGTTTCTTTGAAAAATTACCATCCGAACTTTTATTACTTTATGCATCCTATCGCGTCGTTATAAGTTTGGGTGCTACTTTTCAAAACATTAGTGACGTGTTCATATACACCTTCACTTCATAAAATAAGACGTCTATTTTTGTAAACAGTTAAATATTTAATGGTACATTTTTCTCGTTGATTTTGTTGTTCATTCGAAGCAATTTAAAAAAAGAAAAATACGCTTTCGTATAACGAGATCCATTTGATCAACTGATTTATTTATAATTAACATTTTTTATAAGGTGTAACAATGTAAATTTAATAGGATTTACGTTTTTGTTTGCAAGATCTCCAAATGAATCTGAAAACCCCAATTAACAAGACGATCGCAAGAACAATGGTTCCTATAATATCTAACATGAAGTATTGCCACAGGGACATATCCACAGTCGAATTTCTCATATGTTTGGCGCCCTTATGCCGAATCACGTACTCTATCCACCATATTGCTTTTTCCAGACCGTCGGCTGGCCGGTCGCTCATCAATTCGTCCAGTTTTTTCGCATTCGTAACGTAGCTTAAAGATACAACCATATCGTACGTATTACTGTACAAAATCGTTTTAAGAGTATAGGACAATTTCACATACTGTTTTAAATCGAAAAGACATCAGTCAACGTTTGTAGAAACGATTTGATAACTGGTTATTTAAAAACTCTTTGTTCGTTTTTTTTAGATGTCAGAAGAAAACACAACAAACTCTTCATCAAATTTTCGAAATCTAATGGGATTTAAAGTTAAACCTAAGAGAAAAACTAGCGAAGTGATATATCTTACCAACGTTGCTTTACGGAATGGAGGCATGAATCTTAAATGCCGCAACTATCTTGAAATTAGATTCATTCGAGTTATGGATATATAGAAGACTTCTAAAGATATAGCGACAAAAACTATAGAAACAATGATGTTATAAGAAGAATAAACAAAGAAATTAAGATCATAGAATGTAGAGTTGGGAGATTTTAGGACAAGTAGAGAATCTTGTTTTGTTTATTTCAGAATTTGAAACATATCCAAACGGAGGGTCATTTACGGAGTCACTTTGTGTAAGTGGTTTTGGTGAGGTGTATTTTTTAATTGACCGTCTGATAAATTGATAACGGAAATTATTTGAGAAAAGAATTGAAGTGAGATGTGTTAATTTCTGGTTAAGAGATTTTGAGAGACAGAAATATTTCTATAAAAATTAAGGAGTTGACCATGGACTATTTTTGCACTGTGAGACGCTAATGCATTAAGCTTCCGGTTTTAGATGGAACTTATCAATGACCAGTTTTTCAAAATGTTCAATAAAAATATTAGCGATGACTGGGCAATGCGGAAAACTTATAACTGTTCCCGATATTTGTTGGTAAATCTGTCCGGTATATCTGAACTATGTTAAAAATAGAAATTTTTCGAATAAAATGAGAATGTCTGCAGAGAGTTTAAAATTTTAAAATGTTTCTTCTGGATCCCTCGTGCAACGGTTTCAAAGTGACATTTGGTTATTTATCGGATTTGTCGTGGATCATAGTATAAAAAGCATTCAGCTCTGATGGAGATAGGGTGGCAGAACTTTCAAGCAACATTGAATAAGATGAATAAAATGAAAAGAAATAAGCACAAAACTGTAACTTTTTCCTGCGAAAGGTTTGAAAATTAAGGCTAGAAATTTTGCTAAAAGTACGTTGGTAAACCGATGGTACTAACGATTAGCTGAGGAGGTAGATTTGTTTTGTGAATTTTGTGAAGACCATCCAGTCGAAGAATTAGTCTTAAGGAGTAACAGCCGTTTTTATGGATTGCGGAAGAGATAAAGCTTTAATGACAGATTTAATTTTACGTTCTACCGAACAAGTCGGATCTTGATTGAGTTGGAGATAACAGCTGTCTGATATAATGTCTTAAATTATGTCTTGATAGTCGGGTACAACAGCGGCGGATAACAGCGGCATTTCCCTTGTCTCTTTTAGGATAACTATCTCTTGGATGGATTTTAACGATTTTATTGCAAAAAATTCGGATTTTCAAATATTTGGTTTGGGGGTTTATCTTTTTTGAGAATTGTGGCTGATCTCGAAAAGCATCTCATTTGCAGTTTGGAAGTTTCTTTGCAAGTTTATCGTAGAAACAAGAACAGAAAACTACAGTACCTTATTATGTAGGGAAACTTCCTGAGAAAGAGAAAGATAGTAAAAAGGATAATGTCATGGGAGCGTAATCTGAGAGAGTAATACGGGTACATCGAGTGCACTGTGTAGAGCAGCCGCTTCCAAAATCTGAATAGCCATGATGTTCGTCAACCTCCGTCGCGCAGATGCCATTTGAAGAATAAGAAGAACTATTAAAAATTTTCAGAAATGGCATAAAAAAAGTGATAAAATTCCGTTTTCATCATTTCAATTTTGAAAACGAAAACCGAGCACTTCTAACAGCAACTGAGATGTTTATGGATGCAGTTAATAACAAACCTTTGGTGATCGTTCAGTATTCGCACAATCAATTTTCTGAGCGACTCGAAGGTGAAGCGTTCCATTTCCAGTAATTCGCCCATTCCGTATCTATCGCAAGCGTCCACATTAGCCATTTGGTCTGAATGAAAGGGTACGCCGAGTATTGGTACGTGAGCAGCAATGGCTTCCTCGATCGACTGCAAACCGCCTTGGGTAATAAAAAGCTTCGTATTCGGATGTTCTAGGATTGAAACCTTATCGTTATCATCATTCTTCACTTCACTATAAAAATTCTTCACCTAAAACCGCCGTCTGAGGAATCCAATCGGCGATGAATACGTTCTCGGGTTTTTCGTACATCGAGCCGTTCTCCCACTTGAGGACAACGCCGTAGGGTAACGAGGAAAATACGCTCTTCATAGCGTCGAGCATGTTCGAAGGCAGCAGAAAAGTTCTGACGGATGTACCGAAACTGCAGTATATCACTCCATTCTTGGAGTTATCGAGAAACGCTGACAATTCCTAAAAAAATGGATTGCGATGGAGCGATAAAGCACTATCGTTCATTTCCGAAATATTCATTGATTTCTTGATTACAATCGATTATTTTAGCCGTAACATTTGATGTGATGTAAGTTCTGATTATTTCATTGGTACTGAAGAAGCTTTGTTCACCATTCAAAGGCATTTCAAAGAATGTATTGTTAAATGTATTGAAGTAGATGATGGACAATTCCAACATTTGATTAGAAGTTTTTTATTACTATTACCATAATTGTTGTTGTTAAATGTTGATTTTTTATTGCTTCCCGTATATTTTGATCTTTTAAATAAGTCATAAACAGACAGAGTTAGAGGGCCTTCTCTATGGAAAACTGAACATTCTTTCGGATGGTGTATTCAAAAATTTTTTCCGAAATATTCACGAACTAGAGATAGCTGAAATACACGTAATTTAAAAAAAGTAAAATCGAATCTCTTTTGTAAAAATCTTTTTGCTTTATTTTGGTCTAGATCATTTAATGATATTGATTGGTCACTTAGCAGAAATTATAAGGGAGTTTATCCGGCGAATTACTCATATGATCAGAAACACTGTGTCAGAGTTCTCTAAAAGGACAATTACTTTTATGCAAAGAGCCGGTGACATTATTGATAAGTTTATCATAGAAATTAGAGCACTTATATAGCACTATTATTAATTCTCTTTAGTACCGCTTTTAATGTTTTTACCACTGTTAGTTTAGGAGATATAGTCAATGTTTTTTTTTTTAATTTTAAACCGGGTACTTTTTGAGGCATACGTACAGGGTGTCTAACATGCAAATATTCTTTTGCAAATTGCCAAGAGGCACATTTAAAAAAAAATCTCATTTGTGAGGAGCTGCCCAAGACACTTTTTATTAATTGACATACAGTGTGCCCAATATAAGAATCCTAAGCATGGGAACTAATGGAGATACAGCTTAGGTTAAATTAGGAAAAAGTTGTTTATTTACATGCCGTTTAGAAACTTGTAAAATTTTCTTGGCCTGCTGAGACATAAAACAGGAACTTAAAAATATAGATTTTATTATTTTCTAACTTAATTGGAAAAGACATCAAAAAACTAATTGATATTGTCAAATTCCCGTTTTCTCAAATATCTCAGCAGGCCCTGAAAAATTTTCAAGTTTCTAAATGGCATGTAAATAAGTCTCAAAGAACACAAATGAGATTTCCAAGTTTAACATTCTTATCTTTGGCGCATTGATTATACAATCGGGATCAAATCCTTATTCGGTTTGAGTTCCGAATAGATTCGGGATCCCTCCACGAAAACAATAAAAGATTCCAAAAGTTCCCAAAAGAATTTTACCTACGGGACTCATCGCTCGCGGGGAGTGTTTCGGAAAACTGATGCCTCCGGTTTGCACCACGTTCGGTAGTAGCGGCATCTGTCTGTGGAATACTAAGTTCGTGTTAAGCAAAAGCAAACTGACGTTCCTTTCGATGTCCCCTAAATACGGCATGTCTTCGCCTAAATGTTTCTTGACAATCGCGTCTTCTCTAGGCAATATCGCCCAGTGATAATACATCCTGACAAATATGGCGTGAAGAAAGGATACGAGCCTCTCTTTAAACATGAGATCCCTCTTAAACGGCAAATTCACGTCGGGTGCCAGAATCGGATGCGACGGATTCCCTAACGTGTCCAAAGTGGTGACCTGCCCACCAAAGGACATTATTCCGATCGTGGGACATCCATAATGGGCTCCCAATCCCGCCATCGTAGGAAACAACCATTCGATAATTGCGACGTCAAATTGCAAATTTTCTTTGAGTAGTCTTTGGGTCTCCCTATGGCCGAGGACTCCATCAAATAATTTCGACCACAGTAAACTGTTAAAGTGCTCTTTCGTAAATAACCTCAAAGTGTTTGGTTTAGTGTGATCGACCACTCTGTCCTTTAGTTCGGTTCTGTAAGCTTTTTCTACTTCCTTGTAGATGTCACTTAAATCGTACTCGGTTAAATTAATTAACGCGGCGTTTTTCAACGGGTTAGGGGTCAGTACGTGTACCTGGTGACCTCTGAGTGACAACTCTTTCCAAACGGGTTGGAATACTTTTTGATGTGCTGGTGCTGGGGTGCCCGTGGCGAACAAAATTCTAGATGCATGTGCCAATTGAACGGCAGCACAAACGAACAACGCGACGCGCCAAATTCTAACCGGCATCGTATTGGATTGTATCGTTAACTAGCACTGCCGACTATGAAACGCGCGATTATTTTGAGCACGATAAAACTGAAGTACTCAGATTGGTTATCAATATGAGTATCTAAAAACGGTTTGATAATCTATTTACAATACTATTTGCCTATTTGCTATTTCTGGATCGAACTATATCACGTTTCGCGAATTGATAAATCAAACTTGCCAATGTTCAGCCAATCCTCCAGTTGGCTTCTTCAGAGCTTAATTAAAATTATTTTGCAGTCTACTTTGTACCTCCTTATATACTGTTTGGGGGACTGGGAGCTAAAGGAGGGATATAAACATTTTCTCGGATGACCGATTTTCACGTTGGTAAAAGGTAAAAGACCTGAGTACTGGGTAGAATTATTTGGTTGTTTAGGGATATCTATGTATTCTCGGATTTTTGTTTGGTGGAATAATTCATTACATGCAGTTTTAGTTTGATCGAATAAGATTTGATGTACGGTTTCATGGTTATATTCGGTAACTTTTAAGGCTCATTTAGCTAGTTGATAGTTTGTTGATACCAACTTAACTATACAAATATATTTCTGGATCTCAGTTTGGAATGCAGAAATGTAAAGCTTTTGGAATCCACGTATGGATTACAACAAACAATGCAGGAGGAATCCAGATTTCTAAATAGTATTAATAGGCTGTGGAAATGTCTTTAAATAAATTAATATCTTCCTAACGAACGTTGGCTATTATCACGGAAAACTTGCGTAAGTTGAGGAACCACTAATGCCTTGACCTTCCTGGTCCTCGTCTGCTGTCTATCTTTCCTTGGACTATTAGCAGCAAGAAATGGAATTTATCGTGTCCCATGATGAATGTTACTTCTTTCTCTTTTTTCTATCCCTTCAGCTTTCTCGATAGTGTTTCTGTCACTGTTCATGCGTCCATTCCATATGGGAAATATTAGTTGGTTAGTCTGATTTATAGTAGGAGTGTGTTTAAATTCAACTTTCATGTTGTTGCATGTTGCTATGTTTTTTTCCATCCTAATATTTATGCATGATACTGTCTCCATTCACTTTAGTGCCTTTTCGACTTTTATTTATGTTTGTTTCATAATTTTCTCCGAATAATATAATTTTGGATTTCAATGCTCTCACTGCACAAACTACCAATTTTTTTACTGATTGCAGTAAAGTTATGCTATAATTCTGATGTCATTGCAGTCATTTTGAAATATTTCTACTAGGTGTTTATGCATCACGCTGTCAAGAGCCTTAGAATAGTCCACAAAATACACGTAGACATTATTGTTCATGTCTCTACACCATTGTCCATTTGTCGGGAACTGGGGCTGTTATATTTGAAGAATATTGTAGTTTTTTCTATCTTTTATTTAATTATTGAGAAACTAGAAACCCCCCAAATACATTTAACATCTTTAGGCAGACCTCCAGAATCTCTACCTCTCATGGATTGTCTTGTTTTTGCAGCCGCCTCTTAGTGTGTCTTCCATCCACTTTAGTGATATGCCAAGTGTTTAACTTTGAAGTATTTAGTGCAGATCCGAAATTCTATATATTCTCTTTTACTTTCCCTTTAAATATTTGTTTTTATGTAATAATGTATATGATCCATTTTTTGGAATTTGAAACTATTTTTATTATCCTAGGTACAAGATGCTGCCAAGGTCCAATTTTCTTGATACAAGCAAAGGATTTTTTCCAGGGGATCCAATTTTTTCTTTATTTTCTTATTTATTTTTCTGTAGATTTGAGCTTACAAATTTTAACTAATTATTTTGAATTGAATAAACACTGTCCCCAAGACAAAATAAACAGTCAAACATAACATCTTAATACCATGAGTTGAATGAACTATTAAATGTTAATTAATTACTAATGCATTGCTAAGCCCTAATTAAATATGTTACAATTAAATTATTCTCTGTAAATAGAGACTACCTAATAGAAATACGTAGTAATTAATTTATTTAATTAGCACTAACATTAATATTTAATTATGTATTCATAGGAGTACAATTTATTGTAATCCAAGAAATTAGCAAGCTGCAGCGCGATTGGTTCCAAAGTTGATTTAAAATAATGATTAAGCACAGGGCTAACAAAAAATGTCCATCGACGTCAGGCTCTTTCAAACAAGTTATTCAGGCATTACGAACATATTTCGGGCAGTTTATAGGTAGCAGGGCTGGTTTTTTATTAACCGAAATTCGAGGCGTCCATTTCAAGCCCGTAATTTGCTTCCTTTGAGCCAGTGGCATCGATCTTATTTCGAAGTTTATACTTAGCGGTAATCCACAAACATTAATTAATTTAAATAATGAAATTATTAGTATGGAACATTACAGGTCACGTATAAAATATTTAAATTATGCACTACAACTCATAACATTTCTTTTCTCTATACAATTAGCGCAACCTTCACAGTCATTGTTACGCCACTGCGTGCGTAGGGGATATACGAAGGAAACGTTTTCGTCGATTCCCAACATTTTGATGGCATTTTCTTGTAACTCGGCAAGCTTAGATTTAAAAGACTTGACTGTAATATGAGTTATTTGAATAAAATCTACACGTAAATAATATTTTTTTGTGAATAAATTTTCCACAGCAGTCACTATTATAAACATAACACAATTATTAAAAATATCCATCTGGAATAGCTTTCACAGCGTAGTTTCTAATCTAATCTTTAGATCGTTATACTTGAAGAATAAAAAGAAGCTTTTACATTTAGATTGTTATACGATTTCATAATGAATTCCTTCAAAAACCACTTACTATCTTGTGGTGATTTTGTCAACATCTATTTTAAGAATGTATTGTATTTAATGTTCTTGATAGTATGATTAAGTATCTGGAGACTTTTGTTTTTTATAGGTTAGAATTTAGTTTCGTGGGCAATTTTTTACATGTCTATGTACATGTAAAGACATTGCTGATTGGTTTCAAACCAAAAGGGTGCACTGATTTAACACAAAGTCTCAGATTGTTAGCATGGAACTTACGGACCATTTTAGAGTGAGCCGAAAAGCGGCTATTCAGTCAGTAAATACTACAAACAAGCAGCATATATTTTTGTGCCAGTTTTTGAAACTGATAGATTTCATGTGAATATTAGTGCTCTACTTAAAATTATGAACTGAATGAATGAATATGAATTATGAAAGAATGACATATTTGTTGAATAACCTGGCACTTGAAAGTGTCATATTAACACCATTTTCAAATAGAGGACTGTTAAATGGACTGCAAATTAATAACAATATGCAATATTCCAGCAACGGAATAAAAATTAAGCATTGCAACGGAGGACTCAGCAAAATTTGCATCAGGTATTTTAAATTACCCGAGCATGTTTATTCTTTACAATTTCGGGTAGCAAGATGGTTAAAGGGTGTCATGATAGAACGAAATGAAGAAAGTGCAGCTCCAAATTTACATCAGGATATTCAGGATGATATAAGTGCATCAGAAAAACTAAATCACAAATCACACACACAAATCACAACATCAACTGTTTATGATTGATTATTTATTTAAAAAAATATATATAAAAAAGTTTTGTCACTTCTCTATGGGTTTTTTTTTTCTTTGTCATTTTCATCACATTAAAATGGAAACGATGTTCTCTACCTTAATTGCATATCTATGTTTATGACTAAAATCCCTCTTACTCACGCATCCCCCTTTGCGCTTGACTCGCACCGATTAAAAATGCGGTAGGGAGAGTTGGTGACTCAGGTGAAAAATAAATACAGTCAGGCGATACCGCTTAAACGCTACGCGCGGATCAAAACAGTGCGCCGCTTTAGTCCGACAAACGCTTGCGTGGTGATACGGTGTGTCGTCGCGATTGAAATCATCGGGGAAACGCGACGACTACGTAATTTCCCAGCTGATCGCTGACAGGTGCGTCCGTCGCTTGATCAAATAATGAACGTTTAACACAAATGGCAAGCGAAGTAATCCAAATACCGCTCGGCAAAGTGGTCGTCGACATCGTCCTATTGAACTGCGGTAAGTGTTTAACTAGGTCAGTCCTAATTTACCGTGTATTTACTTTCGATTGCAAGGTTTCCTGAGCGTGTTTCGAAAGATTTGACGCAAAATCTTCTTTCCCGGCAACTTATTACGTTTATCGATTTCAGTGGGGTGGCCGATACTGTTCCTGTATCTTTGGGGTAGCGCATTTCACCGGGGGTTTTTCTGTGACGATGAGAGTTTGCGGCATCCCTATCACGAATCGACCGTGCCCAGTTGGAGCCTTTACATCACCGGAATTGGGCTGAACTGTCTCGTGGTGAGTGGCGACAATAAATTATTCAAAACCGAAGCGAAAACTGGCATTTATACGATAATGGTGGATGCGATGGTTTTTATTTACGTTTAGACCGGCAATCTATTGTGAAGTAATTGTCTGCGTTTGCATTGTCTCAAAAAGTATCGCATAAATGCAATATACCCAAAATTTTTCCTTTTAATATTTAATCGTGTTTAAAAGTGGGACGGGATTAAACTGTGTGTTTAATAATGGTTGATTTCATTAAAAAGAAATATCAAAATATATTGGCAAAAATAATGCAAATAAAATTTATTCGAAAAAAATTACAAATTTAATGTAACAAAATAACAAATTTCACCTGTGACTCTAATGACATCTCCCATGTTCCGTGGAAGGCTTCTAATCAAAGCTCGTATATACTCTTAAGTTTAAATTTTCCCATTCTTCTTTCAAAGAATTTTTCAGCTCATTAAGGTTGTGTGGAGCAATGTTACGAATGCTTATACGCCTTTCTAGGTAATCCCAAACATGTTCGATTTGGTTTAGGTCTAGTCTAAAATTAGAACCGTTATCCTCCATGACGACGAAATGAATTGGAACAAACAGCACTACATTTTTCTCAAGAACCTCTCTATATATCGATCAGCTGTTAAAGATCCCCCTACGAAACACCACTTGCTTTGTGTGGCTTTATGTTACACTGAATAAATCGTTGCGCGTCTGTAAACTGGAATCCGTCTATCATATTCTAAAAGTGAATGCCTTGACTCATCCGTAAAAAGAATATGAGCCCAGTCATCAATATCGAAAATAACATGTTTCCTTGCAAATCTTAAACGTGCCACACGATGTGCCCTAGTTAACAAGGTTCTTATTCCAAGCCGTAACCCTAACCCTTACCGAATTGATCCGCACATTACTGACTCTGGAGATACCTGGCTTTAACATGAGGTGTACGCAAAATGAGAGTTGGTGCACCTGGGACGTCTTACAACTGGTATTCTGTTGTAACTTCCTGTTTATCTAAATCTTCTTAACAGTCTAGAAACGGTAGACTGATCGATTCTCATCTCCAATTGAGGTCACGATTAGGACTGCTGGAATTGAGTTATTCATTGTTGGTCAGAATACTCTGCACTTTTTTAATGGAATACTAAGCAAACCTACTCGACACAAGAACTTTTACAATTTTTAAAGTAAGAATTACGTATTATTCGTTATTTACTGCTTTTTTTACACTTAAAGGAGATCGAAAACGTATCAAAAGATGTTCTGCTAAAAATATCTTTTGTTCAAAACTTTTTTAAGTTTACAAAATACTTTTTGTGACAAATGTAATAAAAATAGTCTTTATTCACCACATTACTCATGAGAACAACGTGTCCCATTTTTGATGGTTTAACTTTTTTATGAAATGAAAGATGACACAACCACAAATGTCAGAGCTATCTTGATCTTTAGTAACATGGTGATTTTGAAAATGTTTGATTTTTAGACTCCATTTGCAGTTCGGTTGTGCGGAAATTTATTTAAAAGGTGATAACTGGTCTGGTTAGTCCAATGGCGTGGCAAGTTTTCTTCTGAGACTCAAAAAATTTCATATATAAACTAAACTCGTTTTTTTTTCATAACTTACATAATTGAAACCTTTATTATTATTATTTCTCTATGGAAATATCGACATGAAAACTTGGATTCGAGGGTTTTTGAAGATGAGGAATACAATTACGTTCCCATGTAATGTACCCTTCCTTTCCTTTTTTTCGTAGATTTTGATATAGTGTTGATTTTTAAGTAAAAGAGTAAAAGAGTAAGAAAGTTAACACTATTTTTAATATGTGCTAGCCCGGAAAAATGGTAAAATAGCTTGGTAATATTACTTCACAAAAAAGGAAACAGCCGAACTGGAAAATTACCTACCGAAAAGCCTACTCAGCCATATATGCAAATTGTTCACTAGAATAAGACTCGAAAACAACCTACATTTCTACCAACCGATGGAGCAGGCAGGATTCTGTTCTGGATTTGAGAATTCTATCGAATACGATTTTAAGAAGGCTGTAGCAATTGTGTTCTGGGATGGGTTTTAACATCAACTTCTCCAAATCCAAATATATGAAATACGAATGACTAGGGACAACCAAACCTGCGAACTGAAAAGAAGATAGCACTTTCCTGCGCTGCTTATAAAAAATATTTAAAGATGTATTTTAATCAAAACGGCCAATATCAATGAAACGGGACGTTTTTAATCAGTGTGTACTGCCAGTTTATGACTTACTGAGAGCAACGAAGGGAAAAGTGGACCGACGACATCAAAAGAACGAATGACAATGGGATGCTCAGCACTTATAACTCCTGGATAGGAAAATAATGGGGGAGGCATACATCCAGCAGTGCAAAGGGCCGATTGATAATGATGATGATGATTTTTAAGTAACACACCGTTTTTGAAATACTGGTATTTTAATAGACTCACCTTCATGAAAAGTTGCAGTCACAAACTGTTATTTGATTTGGACCTATATATGGGGTGCAACAATTTTATTTGGGTAAATGTTTAAAAATTTTACTCTATACCTTAAGCTGTTTTTTTGAGATATAGATATGAAAACTTCTTTTTGGCGCATTCATTACGGACCACCCTGTATGTTGTACTATATTTATCTTTCCGGCTCGCTCGAACTAGGTCCAAAAAGAACCAACCGAAACTAGACGAAAGTTTTCATTTAATAACCTTGCTTTCGTTAGATAACATTCCCAGCTTATTGAATTGTAGTTTATAACTTCGGCGTAAACTTGGTTAATGTAAAATTCGCGATCGTAATGAAATTTTACCTACTGAACTTAATTTCAGGAAATTTCATTTAGCAATTATCGTTGTTTTTAGATATAAGTGACAAAGTGGGTTGGCAAAGATCAAAGTTTTAGCGATATTAAGCTCTGAAATAAGCTTAATAAATAAGCGGGTACTTCGTGCCATGCAGGACATGAGTCAAGGAACGAACGCGAACAAAACGGGTAATATTTAGTAATCTCTATTAATAAATTAAAGATTGGCGGTATTGGATTTTAATAAATGTCAACGAGGCGTATTTTCTTAGACAGACAAATTGCCTTTTCCAAGGTAGTTTCTTAATCTACTTCATGTGCGTAATTGCAAATAGATAGGTGTGCACATGAGTCAGATTTATCATTTTGTTAAAGATAAATAAAAGTTATTTCTGCCGTCGATGTTTCAACTTATCATTCGTGCCTTTTATTTTGACCTGCGGAAAACCTAAAATGTAATAATTTGTATCGTGGTCCTGTGTTTCTGTTAATCTTTCCCTGAATGATATTTGGTAGTAGACGGTATCTTGTGAGATTCCCCATTATCTTCTTTCTTTTAAGACTAAGACCTCTGCTGCACAAAATTGATTCCGATTTAAAGAAAACATTCCTTGCTTGGCCAATTTCGAAGTATAATGTACAACCAAGGTAAATACATTTTTGAGTCTTTTCGATGTTTTGTCCATTTATTTGTAGTATTTCTGGTGGAGTTTGAGGAGGCGATTTACTAGTCAACATGAATTTGTTTTTTTTTTTTTGGGTTAAATTCATCGCCAAATTCTAGACTGGCTTCACTGACTTGGTGTATGAGTTGTTGTACGCCATTTAAATTGTCGTCTATAAGTACAATAATAATAATAAATTGAACAGAAGAGGTAACAGTAGACAGGCTCATTTTACTTCACGGCAAATCTTGATGTGATCTGATACTTATAGAGTTATATGTAAGTTCCTAATCATCTTTATATCTTTTTAGTCAACTCCAGCTTCTTTTAGAGGTTTTTTTTATCTTGGCATCTGTCGAATATCTTCGTGTATTTCAAGAAACACCCGTATCCAATATAGTTGACGTCCCTGCAATGCTGGAATAATGCGTGGGCAAAAAGGGTTCAACAACCATTATCAAAGCCGAACTAGTTATCATTCATATTTTCCTCACACTTGTACAGTTTCCTGGAATGTTTCTCCGGTTACATATTTTGTTGAACAGATCCTTTAGTGCCTATATTTCTACCATTTGGCCAATATTTCAACCAACTCGACAGAAATATCTGGTCCAGGGGTTTTGGCATAATCTCTCGTCCTTCTGCTTCCAGGTATTGTGGTTTTACGGCTGATTCTATATCCTCAAATAGTTCTGCAACATACTCAGACCAGGTTTCAAGTTTTTCTTGAATATCCATTATGACCCTGTAGTGATATTACCCTCAGTTTTCTCCTTGGATATTCCGAAAATCTGTTATTATCTGCATATTAAATATGTCATGTTTTCTCTCCAGTTCTCCAATTTCATGGAATTTCGTGTTTGTCCATTCCTCCTGTGCGTGCCGAATTGTTGTTCTTATGTCTTGTTGGCTACTTGGTTTTTTATTCTTGCCCTTTTATGTTCGCTTTTTGTTGTTATGGATATGTGTTCTTTGCTTTATTCAATGATTGCTTTAATCGTTTCGCCAAATTTTCCGGACTCAACTCTTGTATATAACCTGATCTTATTTCGGTAGCAAGGGCTTCTCTAACTAATGCTAATGTCTCCACTTCGCAATATTTTTTTACATCATTTAATATTTTAAAACTTGCTTTGTTCAACTTTTGCAATACGATAAATTTATAGTTATAAAGATTATGCTCAAAAAACATAAAATGTTTATAATTATTAATTTAATGAAATGCAAAAGTTGAGCAAAACGAGTTTTAAAATGTTACTTGTATGTTATGATATGCAGGTTGCATCCTTTTTTATTGCAGTTATTAGGTGAAAACAATTTATTCGTAAAAGCGCTATACTCTCTTGCTTAGCTATATACTTGTAATGTGACGACAAAAGAAAGTGAAAGCAAAATTAGGTTTCGAATTGTAGATCATTAAACGCATTAAGTTTAATTATGGTTCGAAAAAATTTGCATTTCCGCTTGTTGTGTTGGCAGCAGAGTCATAATATAACAGGTTTGCCAACTATGTGCCAGATT